GTCACATAGCTGAAAAATCAAGGACATAGATCCTCTGTCTTGTTGCTTATTTTATTCTGTTTTTCTTTCTAAAACTATATTCCTACATTCTAGTCTTATTCTAAATTTCTTCTTACACTATATTCCTATATTCTACTTTATATATTTCCTTTAATTTTTGTGTAGAAATTAAGAGAGAAAGAAAAAGAAAGAAACCTAGATAGACAGAAATATACGCTGTAGCCTCACTTTTCAACTTTGGCATTGTACCACCTAACTTTCACTCCTGAGAATAAAATACGATAGCCTTTATTTTTCAATTCCTTATTGGTATGCCCTATACCCAGGATGCCCCCTGACACAGCTTTCATAAGGTCCTTGGTCCCTGTTCATGGTGCCATTTGTGGGGGACATGCCTCCACCTTTTCCCCTAGGGTACTCTTGAGGTGTGAGGTATAAGAGATTTAGTTAGAAATATAGAGGGGGAGAGACAGACAGAAACACAGTATAGTATTGGGAGGGCCTGGATCCTTATCCACTGGCCCTTTCCATCTCTTCTAAAGGGCTTTTTATAGGAATGCCAAGGGGTAGAGCAAAAGACCTCCTCCTAGCACAGCCAAGTGTAGACCCTTCCAAACTGGTAACTGCACATATGGTCAGTCCATTCTGTTATGCAGCCCTTTTGGATAAAGCAAGCTCAGATCTCACTAGGATACCTCTGTGGGCACCCACATCACCAATTCCCATACCACCTCTTATCTTCTCCCCTTCCCTCCAGACCCCCTCCCAACTCCATGTCCTCTTTGTGGTTGCTGTTTTTTAACCAACTGAGTCCAGTGTGTGTTGCCCGTGCACTCATGGGTGTGAGGCCATTCACTAGAGTGTGGTCCACCTACCAGGGCAGACACCCTTAAAGGAAACAAACTCTCCCTTTCCAGAAGTCATCAGGATCAAAACCTTTAAAACGAAACATAAGAACAACAACTAAACACCCTCTACATTGGACTGAAAGAGAGCTGTTCGAAAGATGACAGATAACATAGGCAACAGATGACATTATGCCAAGGTAAGAACCAAGAGCTCAGGAGATATCACTAGATTCAGGACAATTCTCTCTTCTTTTTCTCTCTCTGTTTCTCTCTCTCTTATGCTGAGGGTCAAATTGGGAGCTTTGCACATGTTCAGGATGCATTCTATTAATGAGATATAACTCCAGCTCATTCCAACACTCTTTCTTTCTATTTATGCACATTGGTGTTTTGCCTGCATGAGGGTGTGAGGTCCCCTGAAACTGGAGTTACAGACACCTGTGAGCTGCCATGTGGGTGCTGGGAATTGACCCTGGGTCCTGTGGAAGAACAGTCAGTGCTCCTAACCACTGAGCAATCTCTCAGCCCCTTAATATTTTTAAAATGTAGAAAAAACTCTGTCCTTTAAGCTTGTGTTTTGGTGAGAGGAGACAAATTCTCTATGGAGATAAATTCCACTATCTATGAAGGTACATTCCATGAACACCAGTTACTGTATTAATCAGCAAATAACATGTGTCAGACTTCCTCCCATATTTTTATGGGCAATTTTAATTCACTTATCAAAGAATGTGACTGTCTTTGTTAGTTTTGTTGTTGTTGTTTGTCAACTTGACAAAAAAGAAAAAAAGCTAGAGTCGTCTGAGAAGAGGGAACCTTGATTGAGAAAATGCTTCCACCAAATTGGCCTGTGGGGCATTTTCTTGATTGATGATTGATGTGGGACCCAGCATCCCTGGACATAATGCCATGGCTGGGCAGGTGGTCTTGAAGTGTATAAGAAAGCAATCTGAGCAAGCCATGTGAGCAAGTCAGTAAGCAGCTCTTCTCCATAACTTCTGCTTCAGATCTTATCTGCAGTTTCCTTCCTTGAGTTTTTGACCTGATTTCCCTTAGCAATGGACTGTGATCAGGACATGTAAGCTAATAATCCCTTTCCTTCACAAGTTGCTTTTGGATGTGGTGTTTCATCGCTCACAGAAGATAAAAGTAACCAATACAACAAGAGATTAACAATAACTAGTAATAAAACTGAACAATTTTGTACTAAGTCATATGAGAACTATTGCAACATGAGCACTTAGTTATTGCCAAGGTATAACCATTCCTGACTTGGTTCTATGTGACTAGTGAGTGGGCAGTGTATATAGTGTGGGTACCCTGGATAAAGAGATGACTTATGTGCTGTTTGAACACAGCAGGACAGTGGAGAACTTCATCACATGCTTTTAGAGACATGAAATCCAAACTTTAGGAATTACGTACTTCTGGAGTTTTTCAGTTAATATGTTCAGATTATTATTGAGCATGGATAAGTCTAACAATAGATAGGGAAATAAATTATAAATGAATAAATCATTGGTAAGTATGAAATGATAGTAAGTTGATACCAGGGCATGCTCACATTGAGATAGGAAATTGAAATCAAAGAATGAACGAGAAGGACTAAGAAGAAGCAGTCTGTGAAGGAAGAGATGGGTAGAGAAGCTGAGCTAGAATCCTCTCTAGAAGTATGGGCAGCTCACTTTGCCAATGTGTAGTGAGGAGGGATCAGATTTGGCTATGACATGGGATGTAGGTGTGGAGAAGCCAACAGAGCAGAGTTCCCAGAAGTATGAAGTGTTGCACTTTGTGCAATGCTGCTGAGACATTAGGTAAGAAGAGCAGCCATGCTGACTGGATTAGAACCAAGGCATCATGGGAGATGTCTTCACAAGGAGATTGATCTGAATGAGATTAGATTAGAAAGACATGATGAGAGAATGGGGCATGTAGTGGTTTGAAATGATATATTCCTTGTAACGATAAATAAAAAAGAAAGGCAAAGTGGGTACCTTTCGGTTGGCCCTGCCAAGGTATGCCACAAAGCAAACATGTCATGTGCAACCGAGTAAGTGCAAGAGGTTTATTGGGGGAGGGAAAGTGTGAAAGATTGAAAGGCCAAGTCAGAGTGAGGACATGAGAGATGCAGACAGACAGACTGACAGAGAGACAGAGAGACAGTGAGAACAGGGAAGAGACAAGAGGAAGAAGAGAGACGAGAGGAAAAGAGGCAAGAGAGCCATCTGTGTCTGGTGGGCACTTTCAAGGGGCGCATATGGCACAGAGCTGGCAGTGGAAAGGCCCCTGAAGGGAAGTGATGATGTAACTGCTTTGGTGACAGAGGCAGGCTGCAGCCAAGGTGGAAACTAACATCCCCATAGACTCATGTGCTTGGATGCTTAGCCTGTAGGGAGTGGAGATATTTGGAGGTGTGGCCTTGTTGGAGGAAGTGTGTCACTGTGAGGGTGAGCTTCTAGGTCTCCTGTGTTCAAGCTACACCCAGTGTGGGACACTTTACTTCCTCTTGCCTATGCATCAAGATGTAGAACTCTCAGCTCCTTCTCCAAGTACCATGTCAGCCTGCATGCCACAATGTCCCACCACGGTGATAATGGACTGAACTTCTGAACTGTAAGCCAGCCCCAATTGAATGTTTTCCTGTTTAAGAGTTGTCCTGGTCATGGTGTTTCTTCACAGCAATAGAAATCTTGACTAAAATTAGAGATGAGGATACAGCAGATAATTATGTACAGACCTTTTGCACTCAAGTCTTGTGCTAGTGAGAACAAAAGATGATATTATTGGAGGGCTGTATCCTGCTTCCTAAGATGCCATCCAAGATGACAGATTCCTGGGGTATTTGGTGCCATGATGAAGGTGATATAGAAAGAGGACAAACAGCTTGGAGGAGTGAGTGGACTGTGATTCCAACTGCACATGGAGACATCACCTTTATCAGGAGCTCAAGCCCTTCTATCAAGCCAGAAAGAAACTAGAAGCTGCCCAGGGAGGGTGTCAATAGTTTTGGAGACTTGGAGAAGAGAACTTTGGGTGGTGTTTCCTATGTTCTTTCAGGGTATGAGGCCCTGGGTTTCCTTAAACTTACTTAGAATTTCACAATTTTATGCACACACATACAATGTACTTCGTTCATATTCCTCCCCAATATCTTCTCCCATGCCCCTCCACTTCCCACAGAACTCCTTCCCATCTCATGCCTCTTCTCACTTAAGAGCATTTTGAGTATCGTGGCCATGGCATAAGTTAAGGTTGCTTGCATTTATGTGGGTGGGTGTTACTCACTTGAGCAAGGGCAATTACCAGTAACTACACCACTGAGGAATGTGACTCCTCTCCTCCCCCTGACCCCCAGCAACCATTAACTGCTGGTAGCCCCTGTGGGAAGGGAGGGATCACAGATACCAATTGCTCACCCAGAATGTAATGCTAATGAGTCCAGTATTGAGCAGGAAGTCACTGCTGCTGAGAATGTATGGGTGCAACAGCCATGTTATGTCTGGAAGGTAGCATTTCATAGCTCCCCTTCCCATCATCTTTATGGTACATACACTTCCAGTGCTTTGGGGAAACAAACTACCACATCTGTAATACGTCGGCTGGAGTTAGACCCAGATGTTGCTATTAATTGAATGGATATTAGATGGCTTGGATATGTTTAAGTATAAATTAAAAGAATAAGTCTCTCAATCAGTTACCATGAACAGTGTGTTCAAGGACTGAGGGATATACTGCATGTATCTGCAACAAGGAACAAGTTTTCCTTCTTAAACTTAAAACATGTCTTGTGGGTGGTCCCATGTCCTATTAGGGACAAAGGAGATGAGTCAGCTGGCTTTTGAATATTACCCCAGAATATCCAGGTTGTTGCATGTAACCAGGGTGTAGGCAATGGCTACATGTAGGTGTGGATATAGATAGGCACACACTATGTGTAGGTGAGGATATAGGCACATGTTATGTGTAGGTGAGGATATAGGCACATGCTATGTGTAGGTAGAATGTAGACACTGGTTATGTTTAGGTAAGGATGTAAGTGTTGGCTAAGTGTAGGTGAGGATCTAGATCCTATTAAGAGTGTCATGTTGATTTTTCACAATATATAAACCATTTCCCCAGAGACAGCATAGGAGAGTAAAGAAAGACAAGGTGTGCATTGAAAATCATTTAATGGCTATTTGTAGTTTTTCACAATGCGGTTAGTTTTGCCGATACAAGTTCATCTGTCTCAGAGCTAGTTGGTATGCATGAAGCTACTTTAAAGAACTTAAGGACTAGCACAGTCAATTCAATGTGTCCTGAATACCTCGTGGCCAGCTAAGGTATCGAACATTCTCTCAAGGGTTAACACAGACTGACTCATGAGTTAAGAATTGACTTTCAAGCACTATGAATGGGTCAACACTAAGATAATTCTTTTTTTGAAAGGTCACACATTTCCTGGTACCAAGTTTCTGAGTTGAAGCAGTCTCAGTTCTATCTACTCAGAATTCTGTTCCCTTAAAAACCCACCTTGCCCCACACAGTACCTGTTCTTAACTGTCTGGGTGCTGAGCCCACACAAGGCCTGGGAGCTCACACAGCTGCCATTTCACCCAAGATCTACTGTCTCCTTACGTATTTACTGTATGTCTATCCAACAGTGGGGAGATGAAGATTAATTCCGATGAAACTTAATGTGAATTACTTCATAGGTGAAGAACTGATGTACAGAGATGTGTGTGACACTCAATGCTAGATCACTGTCACCAGAATCTGCTGCTTTGGCTAACTGAATAAATGGAGGCTTTCCATAAAACAGTGAGCACATTAGTCAGCACTAAGCCTCTTAGGAAACAGTCTCCATGTTGCCCCTGTTTCTGATAAAAGCCTGCTTGTCTGAAGGGGAAACTGAGGAAATGTGACCTTTCCCATAACTACTTCTATAGCGAGAATGAGACAGAGTGAGCTGAGGTGGAGGCACACAGCGTTTAGACTCCACAGCCTTTAATGTACTGGGTGAGATCTCGGTTTTGACAGCGGTTTCTCCAGGCCACCCTGTGGAGGAGAGTGAGACAGGGGAAATGGTTAGAATTGTGTCCTCTGTCACCCACATTCTCAAACCTGTGAGGGGAAATAGTATAACAGTGACACTAATGGAGACTGTGTTCTGGGCCAAGATCTAGTGTGAAACACTGGCTATAGCTGCACCCAGAACCTACTGCTGCCTGATGGAGCTGTGTCTATAAGGCTGTTTGATCCTCTCCAAACCCTACTGCTGCCTGATGGAGCTGTGTCTACAAGGCTGTTTGATCCTCTCCAAACCCTGGGCAGAGCACAGGATACTCAATGTCACTGTGACATCACAGGCACAGAACTGTTAACTGATTCTACAAATAGTCTGGGGGCCTGAAATGGAATCAGTCATGTGTGGGAATTCTCACAATCTGGAGAAATTCTCTAAACCTAATGATGGAGTGAAAGGCCCCAGCTGTACCCACAGTGCTCAGAATAACACTTGGGTCTTAGAAAGACTCAACACACATATCAACAGAACCAGCAGTTCCCCCTTCCAGAGTTCCAACATACCATGCTCTAATGCCTTGTGGATCCCTCACAACCCTCTTTGCACATTGTATGGCTTGAGTGATGTCATCCTGGAGCAAAGCTGAAAGACAGGGGTGGGGAAGGACAAGGACTGTTACAGAAACCACTTTCAGTTCAGATCCAGCCAGCTTTCTTCTGTGACACTGAGCAGTGCATACAAGAAATTATTTTTGCAAGTGTCCCTGCATCTGTGATATTGGAGACAGCCTCTCTTGATTCTATGCAGGTGACATGGTCTAAGTCATTTTATTTCTCATTTATAAAGTCCCTGGGGGGGTTGGGATATACTTGAGTGTAGAGTGTTCTTGGGATTTCAACACTGATAAAAAGTAAAGAACACATTAAAGTCATGAGGGGTCACTGGAGGCTGTGGGACTGTCAGCTGCCTTGAGGGAAGTTCCTCTTTGTTCTCACACTGGATAATAGAACACACCAGAATTGTCACCTGGGTCTACCAGTGGAATTTATCCTAAAGAGAAACAGGGGCTGGACAGATGACTCAGTGGCTAAGAGCACTGGATGCTCTTCCAGAGGACTTGATTCCCAGCACCCACATGGCAGCTCTCAACTGTCTCTAACTCCAGTTGACTAAACAGGTACCAGGCATACAAGTGGTACACAGTCCCCTATGCAGGCAGAACACCCACACACATAAAGATAAATGAATACTTTAAGACAGAAAACAATGCACAAGCCTTGTGTGAATAAAGGTCTTCCTAGCGATTTATAATCTTGAAAAAGGAAGCAGCCAGGTGTTTTAAGACTCAAGACTAAAGAATGGTATTTTCAACATACAAAATATTGCTACTGCAAATTTGTTCAGTCTTTTTTTTTTTTTTTTTTTTTTTTTTTTGGTTTTTCGAGACAGGGTTTCTCTGGGTAGCTTTGCGCCTTTCCTGGATCTCGCGCCGTAGACCAGGCTGGCCTCGAACTCACAGAGATCCGCCTGCCTCTGCCTCCCGAGTGCTGGGATTAAAGGCGTGCGCCACCACCGCCCGGCTTGTTCAGTCTTTAAAATGAGAATTCTGGCAATTATGTGTTGCTATGGATGTAGTTTTGAGTAATAGCCATATCATGATTCTGTGCAAGTACAATTTCATTCATGTAAAGAAATGTAGAATCTGTACATGTTTTTATGGGAGTACATATGTGGATGATATAACTTTACGTGGACCTACAGCATAGATTCACAGTCTAGAAGAGTATTCTCCAAAGGTTTCCAGTTACATCAACTCTCTGAGCACTCACATTGGGAGTGATGTTCCTCTTTGCTTGTCGTTTCTAATACCTTTCAATGGCAGTAGAGAAGTGTGCAAAACGCTTTGAAAGTTAGGCTAAGCAGGCTACAAAGAACGTTCCACCATCAATTTTCTCCTGAAAATTTTAACAACCAAGTGTAACCGAGTAGGAACTAATAGTTCACTGTTTAGAGTGCTTGACTAAAATGTAGCAAGTCTTGGGTTCAATTCGCACACTGGGAAAATAGAACACCATTGACCAATTTAATTCATGCACTAAAAATTACATATTACTTCTCTCGCCGCATGAGCGCAAGTTCTCCCATCCCAGACCACAATCCTGATGTGAACCTTGTTTGTTTGTTTCTTGCTACAAACAAGTTTCATCTTAAATACATAAATGTGTGTTATTTTGTTAGATCATATAATTTCAATCTAAGAATTAGATTGTTTGGACATGCAAACTAAGGAGTTTAAAAACAGAACTTGATGTTAGTAATTCACTCTAAAATCCCTCAACACAAAGAGTAAATCAGCACATACACATAGAGGCCAGTTGGACAAAATTCCAGTGACTTAGTGGTACCTTGTCATATGGTCTTTATTATATTTATATCTTTTTAGTATATTTATATCATTATAGTAGTATCTTCATTTGTATATGTTAATCTTTATAACAAAATTCATTCTATCAAAAATGACACTACAACAATTTCCATAACTACCCCTAAGTAAACAGCTAGAATGGAAGTCTCCAGGATAAAACACCAATAAGGCTACTTATAATTAATTAACTAGTGCATATTCCAGAAACTTTCATCTGTTATAAAATGACAACTTCTTACAAATATTTATTTTTATTAATTTTAATTAAGTGTCTGTGTATGGGTGAATGCATTTGAATATAGGTTTAAAAAAATCTCATCAACATTTGATGATACTAAGCTCTTTATTTTTTTTAATTTTCTATTAATTTAACATTTGTGTCTGTGTGTGCTGGAATGTGCACCAATGTACCTGCACAGATATGTGTGTGTATGTAGAAGTCGGAGGACACCTCAGGAGCTGTTCTCTAGAAGCAGTTCATATTGTTTTTGAAACAGGGTCTGTCATTGGAACTGGCTTACAGATTAGTCTATCTGGTTGGCCAGTGAGCCCCATGGATCTGCCTGTCTCAGACTCCCCAGTGCTGGTCTTACAAATGCGTATCACCAAACTCAGCTTTTATGTGGGTGCTGAGGGTCAAACCTTCACTTAGGGAATTCTTCTGTCTGAGCTACCTGGCCAGCCTCTGTTTACACTGAGTATTCATTCAGTGATTTTGGAGGTGGAACCAAGGACCTCTGATTGGTAGGCAGGGCATTCTATCGCCAAGCTATGCCCTAAACCTAATGTCTTCCTTGGCTAACATTGATGTGAATAACAATGACTTTCTAACAGTCCAGTCTCCCCAGGTTCCTGATGCTTCCTTCAGTCATGTCTCCTGCACAGAGTCTCAGCTCTTGAACATAAGGGCAGGGGGGTGTTTTCTATCCCTCTAACCCGCCTTGTCTTACCGCTGCAGGATATCCCACAGGCATTCACTGCTCTCGGGGTTTTGCCATCATTACACCAGTATCGGCTATTGATCTGAAATATCCCATAGTCGGTGCTTTGGTCCCCACGGTTGTAGTTTGTAGCTCGTGTGTTATAGTTACTCTCATGCTGAGCCAAACACACCCCTACAAAGAAAAAGAATATTCATCAATAAGCAGCAACATGATTAATATTGGAAACCAAATTAGCTCTTTGATCATGACTTATTTACAAGTGATTTATGTTATAAGTATAACCATATCATTAACTTATAAAGCATGCTAACACTAGTTCAGCCTGAGTCTGGCTGCATTGCCCAGTGTATTCTCTAGTCTCAAGTGATCCTCTTTCCTCTGTCTTTCCAGTAGGTGGAATTGATGTACCTAGTCAGCAAGTAATTTTCAGGTACTCAAATCTCTTTGAGGACAAATCAATTTGCACTGAGAATAAACAGGATAAGGGTTTTTTTTTAATGCTAAAATAGATGAACTGGTCACAGTGGTGCTCACTTTTATTCCCAGCAGTCTGTAGGCAGAGGCTAGTGAATCTGTGTGGGTTTGAGATCAGCCAACTTCCAGGCTAACCAGGGCTATACAGTGAAACCCTGCTCCCTCCTCCCCAAAATAAAATAGCTGTTTCTTCCATTGCTTTTCCCTACTCCATCTATCCTCAAGGTCCCTCCCTAAAATAGAAACACAAATAGTAGTTAGGTGGATTTTGTAAATTATTATCAAATACATATGCTAATAAAAGGTGTCCTTTTTAGGAAAATAAGTATTTCCTCAGAGAGTTGTTCTTAAACCCAAGGGGAATTTGTACATGAGAAATCTTTTTTCTTCTCTGTGTCACTAAATATCCTAGTTTGGCACAAAACATGCAATCTCCTGCCTCAGCGTCCCATTGCTTAGATTCCAGGAGTGCATACCATCACAAATGGCTGATGAGAATATTGAAAATGAGAACATTAGAACAGGAGAAGCTATTCTGTAAATTCATCCATCCATCCATCCATCCATCTATCTATCCATCCAACCATCCATCCACCCATCCATCCACCCACCTCACCCTCCATCTATCTATCATCCACACATACATCTGTCTGCTCATTCGCTCTTCATGGACAATTAGTTATTGAGTAGTAACAGCCTTAATCCAATCTGAAAAACATACTAGTTACAAGGACATAGTAAGCCATGAACAACTTTGCCTCATCCACGTCTTCCTTTGCGCAGAACGAAAGGCCTTCCCACAGTGAAGAAGAGTACCAAATCATTTCATACTCAGGTTAAGACCTCACTGAAGCAGCAACTAGCGAGAAATAGGATCCCTCTGCCCTGCATAGGAAGTTCAGAAAGTCTGAAAAAAAATTTTCTCTAAAGGTCCATACCATGGTCAGAGAAATGAAGACACATCCCAGTCACCCCAGGCTCTCAGAACTCAAGTTCTGAATGAGTGAGTCCTCCCATCTTTTCTCACCCCCTGTGGACTATTGAGTCTGAAGCAACTGGAAAACCTAGTGACTCTCCAAGAGCACCTCAGGTCCTATTGCCATAGCCTGGGAAGATGTCCCCTCCCATGCCCTCACTTCAGTATCTCTGATGAAAAAGATGAACGCTGATGTTTTTAATCAAACTAGTCAAACACGCAGGAATGCTAAAACCTTATTGACCCCAGCTCCCTCTCTGCTCACTGATTTCTTCCTTGTACCTGTTCTGCAGAGGGTGATTATCTGGAGGGGTCAAGAAGAGGAGACTTACAGTTGGCCAGGCTGATTCCCCTGTAGCCATCCATTCCATGGCTTTTCAGAGTTCTGGCGAACTCACAGCGTTCATAGACCTTGGCCTGGACAGTGACAGAAAGCAGGAGGAGCCCCAGAGAGAGGAGAGCCTTCATGTTGACCTGGAAGCTGGATCCGCTGCAGGCTGAGTAGAGAAGGCAAGCCTCCTATTTAAACATCCTCCAAGTTCCTCCTTTCTGTAGCAGCTGTGGCCTCCAATCTTTGAGCTGTGTGTAAAGGAGAAGTTCCTGCTGTTCTGACTTCTGCATTTGTCCTTCTTTCTTCAAAAGTTTGATGAGAGATGTTCTGGGGGTCCAGCAGTAAATGCACACTACTTATTTTAAAGTGCTTACAGATGTGGATCATTAAGAATGGAGAGCTAGTTCTCTTTCTGGAAGGGGGTTTTTCTTTCATTTTATTGTGAAGTTTAACAACTAAAAGAAAAAAACACAATTAATATTTACAGTTAAAACCAGCAACTACTTTTCACCAACATTCCTTCATATCAAATTGTTCTGTGTGCATCCACCATTTTGCATTGATTTTTAATTGAATCACTTCATGTGTGTTTCCCCCAATTGGACCTACTGCATGTCCTTGCTCTCTAGAAGGCTGGGTCCCATGGTATCACATTGCTTAGCCAGTTTCTACTCTAGAATGTTTTCATTGCTAATGTTCTATTTGTATTTCTATTATCGCTGAGACTCCTGTGGACATCATTCCTAGCTCCTTTTACAATCATGCTTTGCTTCTTGTGGAGACCCACAGAGGTTTCCTAGTGAGAACTTACTCAGGTTCTGAGAATCTGAGCTTGCTTTACCCAGCAGGACTGCAAAATGGGATGATTTTACCACAAATGTGGTTACCAGGTGTTTGGAAGGGTCTATACTTGGCAGTATGGTGTGCTTTGATCTTGCAAGGGGGAGGTCTTTTGTCCCACTCCTTGGCATGTTATAAAAATCCCTCTTGAATAAAGCTACAAGGCTGCTGGGTATTGATCCAGGACCTTCCAGAGCTATCCTGTGATTCTGTCTTTCTTCTCACTGGCTAGGTCTATCTTTCTATTTAATATTTTCTCATTCCTCTCTCCTCCTCCTAAGAATACTTCAAAAGGTTGGAGCTGGGCTTCCACAGCCTCTCCTCTCCATGTTAATACATAAAGGATCACCATAAGCAATAGGACTTCAAAACTAAAACTGAACCAAACATATAACTCTAACTATGTGCAACTTTTTAAAGGGATCATCTTAGAAGGCTGTGGGTATTTTTCAAATAAAGTTTTCATTTGCTGATACAGAGAAGACAACAAATGGAATTTTTTCAATGTTTAATTATTATTTTTATTCTATGTGCATAGTCATTTTTGACCGCATGCATGTCTGGGTACCCTATGTGTGCCTGATCTTATGGAGGCCAGAAAAGGATGTCAGATGTAGTGGAGTTTCAGTGAAGTTACAGTTCCCAGTTACAGGCCACCATGTGGGTGCTGGGAACTGAACCTGGGTACTCTGGAAGAGCAATTGCTCTCAACTACTGAGCTACCTTGCCAGCCCCTGTGGGTATTCTTAAAAAAGACACTATGAGAAAGCAAAAGCATCAGACCCTGGATCTCTGTACTGGAGCACAGATTCCATGTCACACACAAAGTCACCCTAATTTCCATCAGTGGCAGTTACTGTGCTGGACACACAGAGAACCCCCAGTACTTGTTTGTCACCCTAAGCTGAAGTGAAGGCGCTGATCTAATGTGTCTATTAGAAAGGGAAGTGGTGCTATAGATGTCCTAAATTATTTATCCTGGGGCAGGAGATATAGACAGTGACAAGATTTAATAATTTCTGGGCAGGATTTGTTTCCAGAGAAATTTGCTTTATATTACATGTTTTATTTGGTAAGTTTTATAAATTTTTGCCATCTTAAGAAAAGTGGTGATAATTCCCAGATTTGTGTCATATTGTAATGAAGTATTATTTACTTACTTTCTTTTTTAATTTGTTAGTTTTTGTTTTGTTTTGTCGTTTGAGACGGCCATGTTGTGAAGTCCTGGTTGGCTGAGAGTTTGTAGGGATCCCCTTGCCTCTGTCTCATGGGAATTTCCACAACACTCAGCACAACTTCCTTCTGCTTATTCTTGATTCACAATCTATTCGGCTTCCTTGTGGCCAAAAGTAGAAGAAAATTAATCCTTTGTGCCAAGTCGGAGGGGCTTCAGGCCTAGAAGAGGGAACCCATGAAGGCTCTCTCCAGCTTTTGACTAATGTCTGAAATGCAAACCAACTGTAAAAGACAAGGATTTGTCGCAATTTATGATGTTTCTAAAGAATGTCCTGTGGGCAGAGGGCTGGGCACTCAGTTCTGACTCTACTCCCTTGCAAATTCCATTAAAATATTGACTAAAGATTCTTTAATGCATATGTCAGATGTAGCCAACTGCTTTTCTACCACATACCCCAGAAGCTGAGGTGGGAGTTTATTAGAGTACAGGAGTTGGAGAGCAGCCTGAGGACCACAGTGAGACATGTTCTCAAAAACCAAATGAAGGGGCTGGAGAGGTGGCTCATCAGTTAAAAACATTGACTGTTCTTGCAGAGGGCCCAGGTTCAGTTCCCAGCATCCACATGGTGACTCACAACCATCTGGAACTTCAGTGCAGGGGGTCTGACACCTTCTCCTGGTCTCCACAACACCAGACACACACATGGCACACAGGACACACGTAGGCAAAGCATCCATAGGCATAAAAATAAATATTTCAAGTAGGGAAGCCAACAAGGGCAAGGGAAGTAGAGAAAGTAAGAGGACAGATGAGAAACAGCACAAAAACTCTGCAATCAAGATAGAAAGATGGTAGTCTAGGAGACAGGGGAGCTGACACCTAAGGGTGCAGAAAGGGAAGTCAAGGAAAATCAAGCTGGCTCTTGACCTACAACCTAGAAAATACTAGGTGAGTAGAAGCCACACTATATGGCCATCTGTGAGTAGTAAGGCTGGTTGGGAGTCTCTGTGTTAAACCCCCAGACAGGAGAACAGATTGTTGACTCTTCAGTCTGCAGAGATAGATGGAAGTCATTCTTTGAGATGATGATCTATAGACTCTGGACTGGACCATCATCCACTACACTACACAGCTGTGGGTCTATGATGTAGGTTGGTGGTACAATGCTGCCTGGCACTCGTGAGGTATTTTTTTAACCCAAGCACTTAGAAAGAAAAAGGAAAGAAGTAGAAAAGAGAGGAGGGGTGTAAGTTACAAGAAAAAGGCAGATTAAGTTAAATGGGTAAATTAAATAGAAGTCTACATTCTCAGCCCCAAGCCATTCTCCCACCCACTTCCTTTGATGTTATTGAGATAAGTCCGCACTCTAGTCCAAGCTATCCTGGAACTCACTACACAGTTCACCTTAGGTACACAATAATGATTCTACCTCGGCCCCATATGTCCTAGGATTACATGTGAGCCACAAAGCCCCTTACTTTGAATCAGCCCTCTCTGAGTTCTGGGCACCTTGATTTCTGTCTCCCAGGCAAGAGCCTGTAGGATCTGAAGCAGGACAAAAGACCTGCTGTTGCTAACATTCAGCCCCACGATGAAGCAGCAGATACTACTCAATCCCTCTGGCGGGCACCCTCTGGTTACAGACTGTCCGTTCAGCTCCTTGGAGCTTAAGACTGTTTCCTATCAACCAAAGCTCACCAGACACTGGATGGAAGCCAATGCCTGAAAACACAAAGCAGAGAAGAGGGGCTAACCAGCAGTTCTCAACCTGAGAACCCTCTGCGGAGGCAGGGGCTGCCTATCAGCTATTTGCATTACAATCCATAACAGTAGCAAAATTACAGTTATGGAGTAGCAACAAAATAATGTTATGGTTGGGGGTTCAGCACAACATGAGGAACTGTATTAAAGGGTCGAAGCGTTAGGAAGGTTGAGAACCACTAGAAGAGGAAATAACTCAACACCAAATAAAATAGGAATCACAATGAATGCTTCGGAGATCAGAGAAAAATATCACATGCATGGAACAAAGATACTGTAATAAAGAAATAATCAGAAAACAGAATATAAATTATAAATCATATCATATTTAGAATGAGATTTGAAACTGGAAGGGAGATAGCACCTAGGAATCTCATGAATAAATTTTTTTCTGCAGATGGCTTTTCCCCCCATGACTAAAGGTTCCCAATACTGTACAGGCAATCCTAGGTGTGTGAGTTTCTTGTGACACTATTTCCTCAATCCTATTTTGTACCAGTAGTAAATAATTAAAATTTATTTTGGCCACTACATAAGGACATGTTGGGGGAAACTACATGAAAGCAAACAGTCTTTGAAAATCCTTGATGTGGTCAATCAAGATCAGCTGCGATGCTGAAAGTAGTCTTTGGTACGCATTTTGTCCAAGAATGAAAACGATGCTGCAGGGCTATATGCAGTAACTGCTGAGGACCTCAAGAGACCATGGGTGAGCCGCTGTGATGCTACCCCCATGGAGTTTTGGCTCAGGGGTACAGAGGACCTACCCTCACCTGTGTTGTGGAAGCAAGGATGCTAAGATACGGGGGTGGGGTGGTGGGACAGCCCCTTCTGCTCACCCAAGGGGGAAAAAGATGCTAAAAGGTCCTTTCTCCACTGTGGTTCATCTAGCTGGACAATAGTTTGTGACACAGCACCCCTACCCTGTCTGGGTCAGATTTGCTACCTGCCTCAGCAAGACGTGACCCCAGCCCACATATGGCATTTAAATGGCATCATGAGTTACATGGGTTGATAGGAAATGCCACATAATTTGGGTGCACTGAATTCAGACATGTATATTTTTATTAAAAGATTAATGATCACTTTCTGGCTTTCTAGTCATCCATGACTGCAATTGAAACTGCTCTCACTGAAAATTAGATGAGGATGCTGGAGAGCTGGGTCCCCTGATGCAGACTCCCAACATCACTGACATTTAATGCTGGCTGTCATCTTGTTGGTGTTGCCTTTTGAGTCGGGTTTATTGTTAGAAGAAATCACATTATTCAACATATTCTAGAGGACCAAACAACAGGAATTGGTTATACGGCGCTGCTAATACCGTGCTACAGTTTTGAGCAAGACTCAGAAGTTGTTGTTTGGAAGCAGGTTGCTTGAACAGTTAGCTTGAAGAAGAGCAGTAGCCCAGTAAAATCCTGCTGTGTACTGACCCCAGGCCTCTGGAGAATTCACTGTTGCTGCTGCTGCTGCTGCTGCTGCTGCTGCTGCTGCTGCTGCACACTCACTCTCTCTGTCCATTTTCTCATTTCCTATACTCTGCCTTGCCCACTCTGCTGTGGACATGAGCTAGCAGTCTGAAGTTCACCTACATGCCATTGGAATGCAATGCCCTTCTCTCGTCTCCTCAGCGGCATCTCAAGTGTTTTTTTTTTTATCACATTTTCTGCTTGCAACTTTCTTTCTTACTAGTCCTAAGAGAGTGCAAGTCATGCAGGGTACTGAAGGAGCTGAGGGTGGGTGGTCAGTATTGTGAAAGGAGGCTGTGTGGAAAGGCAGGGAGAACACGGCATACACATTGGGAGGAGTCACCAAAACCAGTTTGAAAAGTAAAAACATGTTTGTACAAGAGACACTGAATGTTAAGACACTTCTGTGGATATGTTCGAAATGTGAAACCAGTTTCACAAAAAGTATCCTTGGCTTTAAGCCCTTAACCAACTTTTAGCAGTTTTCTATATTGGGTGTCTTTGCATGTTTTTAATCTAACACCCTCAGTGGACAGTGTTGGTTCCCAGGTGTTTAACTAGCAACTCCAATTGCCTACGCAGGTCATTTACTTGTTCCTCAGGAACCAGGAAGTTTGGGCCTTCATAGAGTTTATAGAAGAGTGTCATGGTGACTGAAAAGAGCTTTCAAGTGTGAATTGCACAAACAGCTGGGCACAGTGTCTGTTTGGGAATAGACAGTGATAATCCAGTGGGAGAGATTCCATCTGAGAACTACACGACCGGTGTCCCAAAGAGAGAGGTGTGGAAATTTAGGTAGAGTGGGACTGAAGGGGCATGATAAAAAAAAAGACCAGAGGAAGTACTGAAGAGATGGCTCAGACGTTAAGAATATGGTTGTTCCTGCAGAGGACCAGGGTTTGATTCCTACCACCCACATGGAGGCTCATGACCCTCTGTAACTCCTAGCCCTATTCTGGTCTCTGTGCGCACCAGGCACACACATGCTGCACATATATACATGCAGGCAATGCATTCATGCACATAAAATAAAAATAAATCCTAAAGGAGAAATAAGAAGACCGTGGCCAGAGAAGGCTGCAGAAGACATCGAAGGCAGAACAGTATTGAAGAGCAAGAAAGATGAGACTGAAGGGCGGGGCCAGACCTATATGCTTAATCCCCCAAGCACTGGAATCTACAACTTAACCCCAAAGACAAGCAGAAACTATTTATGAATATTAGCCTGCAGAGTAACAGGCTCAAAATCTCTCCTAAAAACCATGTTAGAGCCGGGCGGTGGTGGCGCACGCCTTTAAGCCCAGCACTCGGGAGGCAGAGCCAGGCGGATCTCTGTGAGTTCGAGGCCAGCCTGGGCTACCAAGTGAGTCCCAGGAAAGGCGCAAAACTACACAGAGAAACCCTGTCTCGAAAAACCAAAAAAAAAAAAAAACATGTTAGATCCAACTCTAAGAGAGCTGTTATATGTCTGCCGTATCTGGGTGCCAGAGCATATTGGGTTATGGGTGGGAGTAAGAGGCAGCAGGAGGTATTTCTGAGAGTGTACAGTCAAGAGTTGGTCACAATCTAGACTGTGTGGTTATAAATGAAAAAGAAATAATGGTCACTTATACTTATCAAATGTTCAAAGGGGCAATCATTTAAGCTTTAAATGGTCACAGAAGTCATATGCTTGAATATCCATTTTACAGATGAATAATAGGTGTGCTGTATGGGTAATGTATCTCATTCAAAGAAATGCAGTAAGTGGCTTGGGTTTTAGATTCAGGTAATTTCACTCCTCTTTTGTATGCACCACAGTACCTTGTAAAATAGAATTGAAAGGAGAATGAAGTCTTTTGGGACTCAGTTCTAAGCCTTGACTCACTGTAAGGTGTCCATCCATCCACCCCAGTTCTCACCCTACACACTGTAAGGTGTCCATCCATCCACCCCAGTTCTCACCCTACACACTGTAAGGTGTCTATCCATCCACCCCAGTTCTCACCCTACACACTGTAAGGTGTCCATCCATCCACCCCAGTTCTCACTCTACACACTGTAAGGTGTCTATCTATCCCTTTATTGATTTCTGTCTCTGACACCATTCTGTATTTTATATATATATATCATATATTAAACATGAGTTTTCAGGCTGAAGAGTTGGCTCTGTGGTTAAGAGCAATTGCTTCTCTTGCATAGGACCAGAGTTCAACTCCCAGCATCCACAGGGTGGTTCACAAGTGTCTGTGACTCCAGTCCCAGGGAATCTGACACACTGTTCTGACCTCTAAGGGTAGCAGGCATGCACATGGTGCACAGACATATTGTGTAGGCAAAGCACCTCCACACATAAAATGACAAAAAAAAATCTAAAACAAATTTTCAATTAAGATGTGAGTTTTCTTTTAAGATGTCTGTCTAATGTCAGGGAATGCTACTAAGAATCTGCAGAGCATTTATGAATAGACATCCCAGCTGCTGAAAAACTGATTAGGCCTTTCTTTGTGAACACTTTCTCAGTTCTCCATTGTTTCTGTTATCTTAAACTTTCAGGACCAAAACAAAAAGAACTTTGGCTGAAAGTCTTCCTCTTTGTACATTGTAAACAGATGTTTCCTTCCTACTTTTGCTATGGTATAAAATCCTCTTCTGAATTTACACAATGACTGGACATTCCACATTAAGAAATATAATTGGGAAATTATAGTGCAATCTCTAAGTAAAATTTCAAACACATTATGAAATCTAGTCTTGTTTGCAGAGATCTAAAATGTTCCCATTTTTGTTTCCTGTTTTCAAGATTTCATTTCTGCATTGTGATCTTTGCATCTGAGGTTCCATAAAGTATTTGCACTCATGTCTATGCAACAATATACTTGTTAAATTCACTTTAATTGAACTAGAAATTGTTTATTTCAACTTCTAACTGAGCTGTAATAACAGTACCAACTGTTGGGAAGGTTGAGGAAACTGTCACAAACTTAGCAAGTGACACAAAATGCTTTAACTTCTTTTCTTTCCTCCTTCCCTTGGTCCTGGGGATCAAATCCACAGTTCTGTGCATTCTGGATCCCTGTTCTACCACAGAGCTATACCCTCAGCCCAAATACGTATGTATCCATATAACAAAAGATGGCCCCCCTCCCTTTCTACAACACTCCTAAGTTATTTTGAACAATGATAGTGTCATGGTCATTTAAGGTTGCCTTTGTCTTCAGGTCCCCACATATACAGGCAAACCATCTCCCACGGCGCTCCACCCTCACTCCTGAGCTACTCAGATGTTCACTCTAGCCCATCTTACTCCTCTCTCCCTCTCTCCTCCAGCTCTTGGAGGTGTCTAGTTGCTTGCGTGGGACAGTCTACTCCTTAGTCAAGCAGAAATTGAAATCAGACACACAGCATCATTTATACATTAGAAAAATATATTTTGGAGGTCAAAATGGTTTTCATTAGGGGTGAGGAAACACATACACCAGGCACACAGAGACATAAGACCCTCTACAAACCAGAGTGGGGATTTGGGGAGCCGAAGCCAAGCCTCTCCTTGAGGGCTGTTTCACTTGCTTGTTTTGTTTTGTTTTGTTAAGTCTTCAAGAGGGCTTCCTCCCCTAATTTGGAGTTAGTTGGTTTGAAGAAAGCCCATAAGGTCTCTGTTTTAAGCTGCTAGCTTTTGTTTCAGGTGGGGAGAGTGAGGAAGAAGCCAGCCATCTTGGAAGTTCCCCACCTTCATTCCCTAGTCGTGGCCCCCGTCCCTGTCTGCCTGTCTACCAGGGACTCTGTCTCATT